CACCTTACGAGAACTGGAGTGGATCCCCAGCCTTGGATGCTGTGCTGTGACGGCGCCCCAACCAGATGTGCATCCACTTGTACAGCTTCCTTGCACACCCTGTAGAGGTGGCGGGAGCCAGAATGTGACATCCCTCCGGTCCAGGCACCTCTACAGGACACGCGCAATGCATGTATGAATGGAGCTCCCTTGCGGCCATAGCCCTAGCCCACACCACCCCAAGCTGACACTCGGCACCAGGCAGCATATTTTAAATGGCTGCTTGGCGCGAGAACTGACAGTGCTGCGCTAGAGGGAGGCTCAGGAGTCTCAAACTTAGAAAAGTGGAAGGCACACAGTGACCCACTGAACACGGGGTTGTGACCCACTTTTGGGTCCCGATCCACCAGTTGAGAACAAAGGGTTTAAAGGGTATTTAAGGTCAAAAACTAAAGAATAAATATGTATTTCTATATTGAATTTCTATAGGTTCTATCCCACTCCTAATAACTATATCCATCTAGAAGTTTGTAAACTTACTAATTGAAGATGCCCATAAGATGTACTTCCTCAATGCACTGACACCATTGCACTCAGCCCTGTGAATATGCATGTACTCGTGTCACCTCTCTCACAGAGCCTGCTGTTGAACTACAACTCAACATCTGAACAAGACAACATTATCAATGCTTGGTGGAAGCAATGCATGATGGGACATGTAGTCTTGGGAAATCGAGATTGCATCACATCATGCAGCAGGGAAAGAGACACAATGCACACTGGGAATCCATGAAGTTGGTGAAAGTGATGGGCAGACGGAAGGCAGCACTCACTACATAAAAGGGATTTTTTCAAGTAAGCTTTGATTGCATTATCAAAAACAACAGTAACATCTGAAAAATGGCCTGGCCAGGTAGGGGATCTAAACACCTGGTCTTCAAGCAGTTAAGAACAGTACATCGTATTATTTTTTACAGCATTGTAATTCTTAGCCATGATCTTCTCACAATCTTCAAGAAAACATATTAATTACACTATTCACCATGATATCTTCTGCCTCATAGAGCTAAATGTTGAAAATGTGTACATATCAGCTTGATAAGTAGCGCAGGCCTATATATACACATGTGCAAAGATGCCTTTCTTCTGATATATGCTGAAGTGACAACTGGGAAGAGTTACAACAGACAAACATGAGACAGCGACATTGTGTAAATGAAATGGATAAGACAGGGTCATATTTTGCAGCCAATTCTCCTTCCTTCTGCACTGTCATCTATACGAACATTCCTTTTGTATAGGTCACTACTGCTAGTGTTTGAGACATTGACTAACATATGACAGTTGTGCCCAGTCAGTTGTTTCACAATCTGAATGATTCCCATTAAAACATGACATCATTTTATTGTTTTGGATAGAGTGGGGAAAGATTAAAGCAGGGGTAGGCAACCTCAGCACTCCAGCTATGGTGAAACTACAAATCCCATTATGCTTCTGCCTCTGGGTGTCATTGAATTCAATGGCACCGCTTCCACGCGCCATTCCCCCCCGCCTGCAGTGCGATCGAACGCGTAGCAAAACTTTGCCTGCGTTCCGTTCCACTGCAAATGCAAAAAATAGAGCAAGCTATTTAGCCTGCGTTCCATTACACTGCAAACGCAAAAAATAGAGCAAGCTATTCCTTTCTGGCCTCATGTGCTTGCTAGGTGAACACATATTCTAGGGTGGCAAACAGGATTGTCACTCTAGAATGGGTGACAATCTTAGGTCTATGGCCAATAGCAGATACTGTTCACAGGTCATGGGGACATAGCGAGCCTTAGGAATCAATTGAAGAAATGTCACCAGCACACCAAAAATCCTTTCAGGATAACCATGTGTTCATTTAATGTAAAAACTTTTTACTGGACATGGTTCTTATTAAATGAACACATGGTTATCCTGAAAGGATTTTTGGTGTGCTGGTGACATTTCATCAGTTGATTCCTGTAACCAGCGGTGCCATCCGCAGTCACTGCAACCACCCTCCTCTGTCATTGGGGCATCCAATAAGGAGTGCAACAAGTTTCTTTCTATATAGCGAGCCTTAGGCCTCATTCACATGGGCTGTTAGTGCCAACATGTGGCAAGAATCTGCGATCTTTGGGGATGGTTGTACACAGCGGTGGACGCTCAGCCTATACACATCAATGACAGACTGACTGGAACAGCGGATATCAACTGTTGTTTGCATGTATCTGCACATCCAACGGTTACCTCCAGTTAGGGAAAGACACTTTACCTGATGAGGGGACCCTGTGCTGTTCTGAAACGTTGCAATTTCACATCTTGTTAGAACATCAATACAGACGATATTTTGAAGCAAAAAGGTGTACAGACAAAATATCTTCTACTAGTATGTTGTGGCTCCCTCCATTAGTTGTCCCAGCACCCAACAAAAAGGGGTATGGCGTGGGAAGGAGATATCACCACAAGATATCTGACCCTGGACACAAATATGGTCTGTCCCATCTGCAGGTGCTCATTGGATGTGCGGATATATGTGAGCAGCGGTGGACAGCCTCGGCTCCTGTCATCTTGCCACAGGCCGAACAGCTTCACCCGTCCGAAACCACCTGTGATCCCAGCCGCAGTTATCCACAGATTGTTGCCGCATACTGTGTGAATGAGACCTGAAGCTTGCTATGTCCCCAAGATCTGTTGGCAGCATCTATTGTTGGCCATAGACATGAGATTGTTACCCATTCTCAGGGCCGGATTTACTCAATGCGCCAATGCCAATTCCACAATGCGATTTACTCTCCCTGCTGCCCCAAGGCCAGGTTCCACAATCACTTTTTTTATTTGTTTTATTTATTCTTTTACTTCTTAAAATTGTTATCTTGTCATCTTTTACTTTTTATATATTTTTTTGAATTTTTTATCTTATTATTTTTTATAATTGTTTTTATTTTTTGTCTTTATTTTTTAATGTAATTATTATTACTTATTATTTTATTAATTATTATTTAGGACGGACAGCCTGCAGTCTAATTATAAGTGATTTTGGTGACATCGCCAAGATCACTTGTAAAGAAACAAGTCGTTTCCCCCGCTGTACATTTAGCCCTGCTTGTGCAAAGCTAAATGTAGAAAAGACATTACCGCCCGGAACTCCATGTCCATGTGAGACTTCAAACCTGTGCCTTCACGGACATATCCCTGCTGATGGTCTCCATGTGTACAAGCATCTTAGAGTACACATAGTTGTCCATAGTTGTCACAGTCTTGTATATGGACATTGCTTACCTCAAGCAAACACATGTATCTGTTGCACACAATAAACACAGTGCTGACATTTACTCATGTGAGATAACCATTCAATTTCTGTAGTTATATCCTGACTGTATACAATGTGCACTAGACACTGTATTGTGTGAAAGCTAAACTTGCCTGCATGCCCATTGTGTATAGTAATAATGGGCACTTCACAGCGGAGCCGAAAATTGTTTCAGCAGCTGAACTAAACAGGCACAGGCAGAGAAAAACTGAGCAACACAATGTTCAGCTTATTAAACTTTAATCAAAGCCTGCAACCTGTTTAGGTGTACATTATTAATTAATTATTCATGTCCAGAGATTGGACCTATTTAACCCCTTTTGGATAAAATACACATAGACATGGGGTGACAATCAGTCCATTCTGCAGTTTTTCCCTGGGATTGGAAACACTCATATATCTATGGGCAGCTGAAAGACTTGGGCCGGCAGATCTTAGCCAATCAGATGAAAAGTTATAAGGCCGGCTTTGTTAACTTATGTAACAAGATGTGTTCAATGTACCTCTGCTATCTGTCTAGATCAGCGTTTCTAAACCTTTCTTCAGCCACGGCACCCTTTAAAAGTATGAAAAATCTCAACACACCCGAGTTTAAAATGTAAAAAAAAAAACCATAAATGTAAAAAAGTTTGACCCCTCTAAAACCCATACCAGACCCTTATCCAAGATCCAAGGGTGTGGTATGGATTTTAGGGCGGAACCCATTCAAAAACCAAAAAATCCCAAGGCAGTCCCCCCTTCAAATCAGGAGCCCCCATTTCACACCAGAAGCCCCCCTTTACATTAGTAACCCCCTTGTTTAACATCAGCGTTCTCCCTGCTCACACTAGGAGTCTCCCCTTTACATCAGAAGCCCCCTTTACATTAGTACCCCACTCCTTTAACATCAGAGTCCTCCCCGCTCACGCTAGTAGCCCCCTTTACATCAGAGAGAGGCTCCAGGGACCAGTGTAAGAGCAAGCAGGCTCCACAGTTCGTTGGTATAACTTTTTTTAGCCCCACTGCAAGGGCTAATCAACGTTTTCCCCCTGGGGCTCTTCTTTAAAGTGAAAGGAAAAAACACATTTTGGATAATCACCAGAACAGGAACAGATAGAAATGTTCCAATGGGGACACCAATTCTGGTGACCCTCCTGCTGACCACCAGGGATTTTCAAACAGGAAGTGAAGGGAAATTCCCACAATGGGACACAGATGGCAAAAAAAAGCTGACAGGGGATATAACTCTCCCTTACTTTTTCCAAAACTACAAAAAAAAAAAAGTTTGGCTTGCAGAAAACCTGCACAGATCCATAAATGGGGAAGCTAGCATTGCTTGCATTGATGTGAGCTGAGTATTTTAGACTTTGCATGCTGCATACCTGTTTCCAGGTCAGTGACATGTCTAACTCAGCACTGGTAGCTCTCATATCTCTATCCTCAGAGCTCACCAGGTGCTATTTGAGATCAGGCTGACGGATGAAGACGACCCATGCAAATCCCTGTCTCCCGTATGTCCGGTGACAGATCGGCTAGCAGGGAGAGTTATGACACGTCTCTCCGTCCTCCTCCTGTCTTTCCGCTCTCCTCCTGCAGGTGGCGCTGTCCCGGCTCCTTTATATCAGGCGCTCCCAGGGATGGTGACGTTGCAGAGTGGGCGGGCAGTGCAGGTGCTGATCTTTGCGGGGCTGCGGCAGGTGCGGTGCAGGCTCATTGATCGGTGCGGACTGTGTGCGGAGAGGATCGTGTTATACCGGGCGGACCTGACACTACGGTGAGTGCGGACCGCTTCTGGGTGGCTCATCCGGGCATGGTGACACTAGTAGTCCTCCAGCAGGTGCAAATCCTCCGCTGACTTTTATATTCATACAAGGGGCGCTAAGACCGCATATCCGGCCTGCTGTTCTGTGTCACCATCTGAACTTGTAATGAGTACTGTCAATGATCTCAGACTTCTCGGGTCACTCTGATCTGCCAAGTTGGCCATTTACTTACTAGTAGATTGAAAGCCATGGGGGCTGCGATGGCTTGGAGTGATTAGTGACTTTATCTCTAATTCTGCATTGATCTCTGTATACACTCTGGTGGATCAATTGCAGATCCCTATGTTTACCTCCTGTCTACAGCTCTATGTACACTCTGGGTGGATCACCGGCAGATCCCTATGCTTACCCCTGTCTTCAGCTCTATGTACACTCTGGGTGGATCACTGGGAGATCCCTATGCTTACCCCTGTCTACAGCTCTATATACACTCTGGGTGGATCCTGGGAGATCCCTATGCACACCTGTCTGCAGCTCTGACATTGGAAACTGAAACACTGTAGTCTTTAGAAATGTACCAATTCTTTAATAAGATAACAAGTTTAGTAACTTTTCAGTATAATGTATCTTGTCTTCTCTATTGAAGCCCTGTATGTATGTATGTAACTAATGTGAGCCCATCATGGAACAAGTATGTGAAGGTTTGCATGGGATCAGCAGGACAGGAAACCTAATAATTTCTATCCTATGATCTAGAAAATTAATTGCTGTCTCTCCTTATAAGCTGCCATGTGCTGCAGGTTGCTGATTTCACAGCCACCAATATATTATTGCCTGATGAGTGTCCCACTAATATCTGCAAAGAGACAAGGGGCGGGCTATGGGGCCCTTGTGGCCCTTTTCTTCTTCCCATATTCCTATCCCTGTCCTATGTAGAGGTGTGCAGTCATGGCTGATCACTTCCTTATCCAGTTCTAGCCAGCCTGGCCTTTTCTTAGGACAGGTAACCCGATCGTCTGTCTCATGCACCTGCTATCTCTACTATCGGCAGTGTAATGGCAAGCAGTCCATTCTAAAGGGGAATGTGAAGGTTTCTGTACCAAGAGAGACATGACAGATGTAGAATCTCATCATTGTATGCTCTGTATATTTTCTATAGTGATCACTCTTGTGCTGTTTGGTCAGTCTTACATGTACACAATAATGCCAAACGGAATATTTAAGTATCTGTTTGTAATCTTACCTGTGGACTGATTGCTATCTACTTTTGCTGTCTACATTTCTTCTCTTCCTTGTTTTCAGTGTAACTTCTGTCTCTGTGCAATGAATACCAAAAACTTGGTGACCCTAAACTCCTAAACACATTCAAGTACCTCCACTATTAACAGAAATGTATCTTATTTATCACTCGGCTGTAGACCCTCAAATCATCTCTGAATGGGTACTGACACTGTCCTTCCTTCTGGAGCTTGGCTACGTTTGCTCCCCATGGTCCCTGTGTGTGGTGTAAAGTAGCCACCAAACCAAGATCACTCCTGTGATAGTCTACAAGCTCACATTTGGTTTACTAATTTGTTTTTTTTTTCCAAAATACATTTTTATTGAAGTTTTTACAAAGAAAAAAACAAATAAATTGTATACATTAACAAACAAAAACGTACATACAGCACATAAACCATGGCCTCATAAATTAAATAACATGTCCGGGCCTTGTAGCATAGAAGGCACTCGTGGTATAGGCACCTATGAATCCCTGAGCTAGGTACATTGTAAAGACCACCACCGTGCTTAAGCAATGACCAGCACCCCGCTGTTGGGGGCAGGCCAGTACAGAGGGCAGGCAACCAGGAAACAAGTGAACAGAAATGACCAAGGCATTATACAAGCAACAGTTACTACAGACAAACCTGAAGAAGAAAGTGAGGGTAAAGCAGAGGCGGGGGACAGAGGAACATGAAAGGGAGGGGAGGCAAGAAAGGTGGGGGGAGAGGTCGGAGATGTCCATACACCGTTTGGTTTACTAATTTGTATTGGGATTGTAGTCTATCACGGGAGTGAGCTTGGAGCGGTGACTACTTTACAACACACACAGAGACCATGGGGAGCAAAAGTAGTCACCCTCCAGAAGGAAGGACAGTGTTGGCATGTTTTAGAGATGATTTGAGGATCTACAGCTGAGTGATACACAAATAAGATACATTGTTAATAGTTCAGGTACTAGAATGTATTTTTTAACAATTAGTGTCCCTCTCAGCTGGCCATACATTGCTTGACTTTCGGTTAGGTCGTGCTGACTTGGTTGACATTCATGCTGTGTACAGCCCTGTTGGCACCCCTCTGTTCAAGTCACTTTCTCCCCACCCCAATTGACTTTTGTCAAAAGTGCCAGACTGAAGATTGTTGGTAAAGCGGTTACTGCAGCCACTGTTCGGGTATTCTGGCATCTGCCGGTGCTGGCTTCTAAAAGTGCTACTGAAGCAAAAACTTTTTCACTTTTGGCTAGAGTGAAGAGGTCCTAGAATCCCTTACAGGTTGTGGTCTCTCCACCTGTTATCTCCGTTTGTCTTGGTGACCTTTGTTGCAGAGTTTTGACATGTCAGCAGAGTTAGAGTCCCCATTGGAAGATTTCCCCTCTAGTCACCTAGTGACAACTGTGGGATTTCCCTTATTTTTGTGACCTCATCCTGTTGTGGCTTTGGGACAGTAAATAAGGGGAAATCTCACCAATGGGCACAGATGGCCAAAAACCGACAGGTGTTATAACCATCACCTATGCTATTAACCCCAAAACGTGCTACTGGGAGGATTGTTCAAGTTAAAGGAGAACTTTGAGGTGAGTGAAAATCGCTCATCCTCATAGTTCGAGCCGACGTGTGACAAACTGTCACATGTTGGCTCAAAAGATCAGGAAGTGAGCGAACGCATACCGTCGCTCACTTCTCGATCATCTCCCCGCAGGGATTCCCCCCCCCCCCTCCCCACTCCGATCGTCCAGCGCTGAGTGGTGGAACGGACAGGTGAGGGGGGCAGGTACAGCCGGCTCTGCCTCTATATAGGCAGAGCTAGCGGTCACTCACGCAGCTGGGTGGGTCTCTACAGTAATGTTGGGATCCATCCCAGCTGCGGCGTCTCAGTATCCCGCGATTTGTAGCTCACTATATACTGAGCTTTGGGTCACAGGATGATGCTAGTTTGTCCTCCCGTGACCCTGAGGAGAACTATGGGGAAAAACACTTACCCCATAGTTCTCTAAGTCTTAAAGTGGGTAACAATTTGAAGAGAACCTCTATGGAGGCTGACATTGCTGACCACCCCTAGCGAGAGCAGTAAATCCCTGGTTGTCGTGCTGATCTGATGGCGTCAGTAATCCAGAATAGGTATAGCGATATGCCTTGACTTTGACTTCCTATTCTGGGTCAGAGACTGGATTCATGTGGACAAATATGGCATTCAGGTGCCGCTCTGTCCAATCCAGGAGACAGCAGGATTTGTATAGGAACCAGCTCCACTGACAACAACTAGAGAAACTCAAATTGGATGCCAGTTATCTTTAAGGAGCATTAGCGACCTGACTCCCGGGTTCATTTTAAATTAGGAGTAGGCAACCTTGGCTCTCCAGCTGTTGAACTACAAGTCCCATGAGGAATTGCAAGACTGATTGCCACTTGCATGACTCTGAGACAAGCATGATGGGGATTTGCAGTTTCACCGCAGCTGGAATGCCTAGGTTGCCTACCCCTGTTTTTAAATTGTGTTACTTTGGGCACAAATGTAAAGGAGACTGACATAAAGACCACACACCAGAGTGCATACAAGGTACATATACAGTCATTATTTAAATACATTAGCTGTAAAGTATTTCTTGGCTTTAAAGGTTTTGAACTGAAATGCAATTTTGTCGCAGTATGTGTAAACCCAACCACTAACATCTAATATAAGCTTCAATGTGTTCATGTCGTTTTAGCGGTCCTTGTGATGTCACTACCTGTTGTAGGGTGACAACACTGTCTTTCTCTCCCTTGTGCTCCTGCATTGTCTCCTTGCCACATGGGTTTAAGATTGAGGCTACAAGTGGCCTTTTCAACACCTCACGCCGGCATTACTCACTGTTGTCCCCAACGGGGAACCCACCCCGAGACCCCATGCAGCCGTCTGTGGCGTGCATGTCGACAGGAAGTCTCTGCAGGAGATCAGCAGCAATGGGTGGGAAGTCAAATTGCACATTATAGTTAGAAAAAAAGGCAATTGTTTATGATGCCCAATGTTTTAGCAAACTAAACCTCATTCAGTTATGGTTTATATCCTGATGCCTGATAAAAGGCTTTCATCTGCTCAGGGGCTTGGCAGTTAGCATCTGCAACACGCAACACTGGTGGTCCTCTGCTTACATCCAGGCAAGGACACTATCTGCAAGAAGTTTGCACGTTCTCCCTAAGCTTGTATGTGTTCCCTCCGGGTAGACATGCTGGAAGGTTAATTAGTGTGTGTGTGCTGCTGAATCGGCCTTTGTAATGTGTCTTTTACTACTCTGCACACTCGTTGGGTCTCTTCATTCTCCCAGCTGAGTTGCAAAGGAGGGAAAAGCAGATTTAAAAAAATGGGATCTTGTAGTTTTGCGGGTTATTTGTTTTAACTTTATCATACAGAATGTGAAGGTTTGCGTCTACTTGTATGCTTTTGCACAGCTGCATTAAACGTCTGACTTTTGCTGTGGATTTTGTGGCGCTGTACCTTTCTGGCGTGGCTGTTTTCTGTGATCTCCCTTGCGGCAGTACACCATAGAGTTAATGCGTACATTGTAGAGATGACGAATGCTGCAGGAATGAGGGCAGCAATTATAAGAAGAGTATTTTGTGGTCACTGGGGTGTGACACATTTGTCTGGCTTACAGGTTGTTGTGTTTCTGCATTGTTTCTGCATTGTTTCTGCCTGTTAGTCCCCCGTTGAAGGTTTCCCCATATATGGTTTCCACATTAGGAAACCTACATGGCCACTTACCTTTTTTATTGGTGTATGTAACCATATTTCTGTTTGTGTACCCTCACCTACCTACAATATTTTATGTGGGGGGTGGGGTTTTTTTTTTTTTTTTAATGCTCTGATTTCTTGTAATTGCCTGGAGATGTCACTTTGCTCTCTGGGACTTTTTAAGGGTGTGTCTAGGCTTGACATTGATTATTAATAGAATGATGACTGACATCTCTACAGGAAAATAAATCTGGCCATACACTGTAATATTTTCTTTCGATCTGTGGGCTGAGCGAAGAACATATTAGATTCCTCGGTCGCTTACGAGCATTGACCCTGGAATCTCCTGCTGTCCTGTTGGAGATGGAGTTGGAGAGAGATGCCAGCCGAAAGGGTGCAGACAGCACCACCCACTATGTGAATTTCTTCCAGTTCATCAAGAACCAGTCTAAAGGTGGCCATACACTGTACAACCATCGCAAGACCTTAGTCTTGCGATGGTTGTACAGGGATTAAAAAAAACTTACGATCTGCCTATCTTGGACAGGCAGATCGCACTCTCGATCATTGCAAGCAGTGTGAACGGAGACGTGCGACCGTTTCTACTGTACGGTCGCATGTCTTCCGTCGAACCAGCATGTTCGAAAACCAGCCGGGAATCGTACGATTCTCGGCTGGTTAGAACGGTGCTCGGAAGACAAATGCCGAACGGGCCGGTGTGCGCGCACTGCCCGTTCAGCATTGCAGTCATCGGAAGCCCGCCCCTCAGGGGCGGGCTTGCGATGATCGAGAGTGCGATCTGCCTGGTCAAGATAGGCAGATCGTACATTTTTTAATCCCTGTACAACCATCGCAAGACTAAGGTCTTGCGATGGTTGTAGAGTGTATGGCCAAGCGGGAATAAGAAAAGTTATTTTTATTCATAGTATAGGAAAGTCAGTCGCATATCGTCTAGTATGCATTTTTTTGTATTCTGTAGTGCAATCGCTGAACAGGTTAAAATCTTATCAACTTGTGTCACAATGTGAAATGTTTTATACATTGGTGACTCCATTTACAAGCTTGTAAAAGGGTCTCAGATCTTGATCATAATGCTTGGTTTAGTCCATGGACCACCTCGACCTTTTGAGCATTGTATGTGGGTGATTTTGTGCCATCTGCATAGAAAATATCTAAAATCAATAACAAATATATATTGCAGCTTACCAGTCCCAAGACGTGGCGCCTATATTGGGGTTGTGTGTGGGGTTTTTTTTTCCCCTCCCCTCTCGGGTTTAGTACATTTATGCAAGTACAGAAAAATACTAGTTGTCCTTAACTTCTGTGCACTGGACTGTCAGCTTTCCTAACTTTATTCTGTGGTGCACAAAATGCCTCCTATGTAATGAAGATGAGGGGGAGGTGTTTGTAGTGCAAATCTCAACAGCCTAGAGCAGTGGTGGCGAACCTTGGCACTCCAGCTGTTTTGGAACTTCAAATCCCATGAGGCATTGCAAGGCTCTGACAGCCACAGACATAACTCCCAGAGGCAGATGCATGTTGGGATTTGTATTTCTGGCACAGCTGGAGTGCCAAGGTTCACCACCACTGGCCTAAAGTGACAATGCTACTCCTTCATAGAGTACAGTGTATGAGTGGTCATAGGATGGGAAATGTGTTACTGGCCAGATGACCAGCTGAAAGTAATGGGTTATAAGCCTGTATAAAGGAAGCTAATACAGCCACTGTGTGTTCTTTACAGCACAAGTAGGCAACCGCCTGTGGCTCAGTCTTGCAGTGTCTCATGGGGATTTGTGGTTTCAGAACAGCTGGAAGGCCGGAGTTTGCCTACTCCCTGCATTAAAGTGTCTACTTTTGAGGAACTCCCACTATGTGTCCCCACCACATAGCTAAAAATTGAACAGTGCTATACATGGTAACTACTGGCACTTTTTAGTGTTCGAATAGATGGCAGGTAAGAGACTGGCATAAAGCTGGGTTAATACAGATCACATTTGGCCTCCAGGAATCATCCGCCGTTCAATCTGTGGGTGGCCCTATGCCTTCAACAGAAGGTAATTTTAATAATGTTGAGGGGATATGCTGTAAAATTGTTGGCCAATCAGCTGCAAGCGCTGGTCAGGTGTTCTCACAGCGGTGGGCACCCCCCAGACAGAACGTATTGAGTCCTGCAGTTTCCAGAAGTGTATCTAGAAAAAATAATCTGCAATTTTTAAATAAATATAAATAAAATAGGCGTTATGCCAATTTGGCTGCAAAAAGTGGAAATCTTATAAGTAGCCCGGGTGGCAACCAGCTGCTCACAGGCTCATGGAGAAAAATTGATGGGGGCAGGTTAAAAAAAAAAGTAAAGCAAATGTTAAATTAAATATTATCAGAGTTCAACCTCCACCCTAAGCTGTCATGCTGGAGAGAACAGGTTGCAAAGGATGAGTGCATTACATATTGTCCTGGCCTCACTTTACCTCTTTCTTTAGACTTATATGTATATAGTTTGTCCTTATAGTCCTTACCCTTCAGTTGTAGTCTGCACCAACATGCAGGTGTGAGGATATGTCAATATTGGGCCAGCCTCTGACTTGTATTGGAATCTGAATTGGAATAGTAAGTGATTGTTGGCCTCGCCCTACTTCTGCTGGCAGTGCATTATGCAAGCCTGTGCTGGTCCTGTTTTTTTTTTAACTCCTGCAATCAACTTGCCGGAACAACAGTTTGCAGAGTTTTGCCTTTGTATCGTGTTGGCTTGTGCTGCCTGAGATTAATATTTACCACTTATTCCTCCGCAGGTTTAGAAGATGGACTCTCGGTTTAAAAGGGGCCAGTGGTCCTCCCAGTCTCTCAGAGTGACGGCGAAGGAGTTGTCTCTTGTAAAGCCGAAGAATTCTGCTATCATGGAGCGATTTTCCAGGTAAGCCAATCTTCTGCAGAATATCTGCCGATACTTCCTCTGAACTGTGTTTTACTACACGGAGCAAATAGTAGCTTAGTAAACAGGAATACATTGTCAGGGCAACAAAGTTATTAGATCTTGTACACACTGGAAAATCTAACTTTTGTGTATGCAGATCCATGTATTTTAGTTGTCTGTTTGCAGGTGCTGTTTTCTAGTCCCGAGTTTTGATTATCTCGCCGATAAGGAGGGTTCACTTGTTGTAGTACTGGGAGACGTGCAGAATCCTGCCCAGACCACTCCTGGGATGATTAGTCAGAATCTGATGATTACATTTGTTAACCCTTTTCTGTTTACTGAGGCACACCTGTTTGTAGTGTGTGAAATAGTTATCTGGTTATAAAATGGATAATGTAATCAATTTGGCTGATTGCTCTTTTTTTTTTGCCCCTCCATTACTTCTCATTGGCTTTGGGCATGATTTGCACAATTGGCTTTTTCTCCAATAGATGTTGGACAAGTTGCGTGTGTGTGTCCCCCGATGCCAATGTGTCTGGTCCAAACAGGGTAGCAACCGGGAGGATTAGAAAATCCTTTCAAGATGCATTTTCCCCCCCCCCCCCACCAAAAAAATATACACACCAACACAAATGCTTGAGCAGTTAGGTGATGCCTACGTGTCTAACCTTCATCCTGTGGTCTGCTTAATGCATCCTGTAAATGGGGTAGTTTGTAAGTTTAAAGGTACTTGCATTCATTCCAAAGGTTGTCAACCTACAAGGCTGCAGTTGAGGACCTCTGTACATCACCAAAGAGCCGTATAAAATGTGCACTATAAGTAATGCTAGCAAGTACTGAATGTAGACATACAAGAGAAAATGTTGGCTAAAGGCTGTGAACATGCTACAAGTTTGGCTGGTGACTGAAGAGCTGCTGCAGAAGACATTGAGACTGGGAACATGCTACATGAGCCTAGTAGAGATCACCGCTATTAGTCATTTATAAAGCCGTGCTCCCGCTACAGACAACTGGGGTCCAAAGGCTGCGTGTAAAGTACCAAAGGGCTGTATATTGGGCACAGGGCTCTAGCTGCTTGGTACTTGTTGTGCAGACCCACGAATAGCAACACCTGGTGCATGTCTGCAGTCTGAGCTTTACCTCTATGTCCAGTCTGGCAACCTTCTGTAGCGTTCTAAATATACTGAATGTGTGTGTGGGTTTTTTTTTTTTTTTGCATCATTCATTATTCATAGGTAGAAGTATACAAAACACAGTTGGGCTTCAACTCTCCAAAGAAGCAATAGGTGTCTTTGCTACGGCCTACTGCTCCTCCTTTTGTGTCAGGTTCTGTAAATCCTAATACCTTTTGCGCAGACTTTTTTTTTTTTTCTTTACCCCACCCTCTTTATTTCACTTCTTTGAACGGTTTGGCTTGTTTCCAAGGGTCCAACCATCTAATGTGTGAGGGCCCATTCACACCACATGCTGATCATCTCCAGACCAGATTGTTTCCAGACCCAAAATGTATCCCTATGCTAGTTCTGGCCTCTGTTCACACCAGCGCAGTCCGTTCCAGACTAGAAAAATACTGCATGACTCATTTTGTCTGGAATGCACTGGAACTGCAGGCAGGCTCACACCACTTTTCTGGACCGGGAAGTGGTGTGAACCTGCCTTGAAGGGCTGGACAAATCCCGGGAACTAGGTATCCAGTGCACCTTAATGTATAGCCGGTGCCTAATGTTTTCTCTAGTTGTCAATGGAGCTGGCTCCTGAATCCCCATATTAACTTGTCCACCCTTGGTGTGAAAGCACATTTTGGATATGGGTTAAAAGATCCATCCTATTTCATCCTATATCTCAGCTTCGTGTACCCTGCAGGTTAACCTATTTGGTGTACTGTAAAGCAAATCTATGGCTTGATGGGGTTTTTTTTTTTTTTTTTGCAGGGCAAACTAGCAGTTCACTTTAAAGGATTAGTTAGGGCTCCACATTTTCTACCCTAATGCATCCTAGGAAGCCTGTAAAACAACTGCCAGTAAATATTTTAATTCCTCTCTATGCAAATATACTGAACTTTTTAATTTTTTACTGCCGCCAGATCCAAAGTGCTGCTTTCCTGATCTTCTGGGAAGGGAGCGTGCAACCTGATCAGGCTTTATAAGTAGGCTGGACCTGTGCTGTCAGTCACTTGCTGGGGAGCAGCTGTACACCCTATGAATAACTAAATGTGCCGAGCTACAACAATGAGCAATTCAAAAAACAATCGGTGACTTAAACAAATGTCAGTGAATAAAAAAAAATAGATCAGCTGTGAAATCTCTGGAAATGTCCATAATACAGGAATAGGGATGAATATTTCTTGTTCCTTCATCAAGTGCACCACACCAGATCTAGGGGTGCTCACCTTATTGATGGACCCCAACAAAAGGTCAAATCAGGCAATTCCCAGCTGGGTTCACACCATTTTCCGGAGTATGTGTTCCAAGTGCTGCACTGGTTTTATTACACAGGATTCTATAGGCACAAAAATCCCTAGTACCCCCGAAACTGGTAAATGGTTTACACTGCCATCTTGCCTACCAAATCTAACACTGATCTACACAATTCTTTAGTGCACAGCTAGGCAGGTAACATGAGTTCAGCAGTAAAACGGAGGCGTAACTAGAAAATTAAGGGCTCTGGTGCTATAAACCATGAAGGCCCCCCCCCCACTTCCATGGGAAGGAGCTGTGGGCAGTTAGCCTACTGGGAGCTGAGGTGGTTAACGGGGCCCTGTCCTGTGCAGGTACCCCCCAAGTGGTGGGACTACCTGAGTCGCAGCTGCGACTGGGCTCTGGTGTTCCACCACTTGGAGGGGCGCTTGTGAACAACCTAGGTGCCGACATTGCTACCTGGGACTACAGATCCCAGTAGGCAGATGCTCCAACTCTTTACCATGGTTAAAATGGGGGCAATATAAGAGTATAGTGTGTGTCATACACACAGTTTTATATTTATAGGTGGAGAGGTTGGGGGTGTACCTTTCACCTTGTGTGTTGGGGAAATGTAGTTCTCCCCATATGCAATATGTGTCTGTGACTGTTCTAAAGGTATATGGCCAGTTTAAGAATTTTACCCAAGCTGTGCACTTTTAATAACCTTGGATTACATTGTACATTAGGCTGCTATTATGTCATTTAATCTGAGTAGATGAGCTCATTCACACTGCGGTGCCATAGCTGTAATGCATTGCCTACAGCTATATGATTTAATGTAGCAGTATTAATATATATGTAATGTAAATGGGTAAGCCCTATTAGTCCAGTAGAGAAGATGTATAAAAAAACAACGGAGTATTGAAGAGAGGTTAACTCTCAAAAGCTTGTCTTTTATATATTTTGTTAGTCCAATAAGAAAGGTATCATTGCATACTACAATACTCAGTTTTGTGTGTGTGTGTGTGTATATATATTATATATATATATATATACACAAATTTTATTTATTTCTCTGTGTTTCTGTG